TTTAAACAGGCAAAGAGGGGTGGCAGTTTCTTATTTAAAGTTTGATTCTCTAAAACACAGAAAAAAAACTACACTTAAGTCATTGGGAGCAGAATTTTCTCTTAGATATGGAAAAAAGAAGAATGAGGCCTCAATGATAGTATAAGAAGAAGAAAAGGAAAGAGAACAGAATTATTTCTAGAGGTGTAAACTCAATTAGAGTTTCTTGAAGTCAGTGGTTACTTAGCCAATGGAGAATATTATCTACTTCAAGAATTACAGGTCTAAACCACTGTTTTCAGCTAACAGGAGTCTAAAAAAACTGGTAAATTCACAATAAGGGCAGAACCACATATAGGATTGACAGACAAAGGATGTGGACCCCCCAGATCAGAGACCAGACTGATGCCTGCCCGGCCACACCCCCGGAGGGGTCTTTCAAGGGCATCTTGGCTAAGATGTACCCATATAACCCCCGGGCCTGGTCACTTCAGGAAGGAAGTTGGGCTCGACCCGACAGCTCTGGAGTGAATCACCGTTATGCCTTATGATGCTCCCGTGGAACCGCGGGTGAAGGCCCACACAAGCCCCGTAGCTTTTCAGCCGTGGGACTACATATATACACACTCATTCTCTCACTCACACCGAGTTTATGGAAAACAGTCGAATGCTGACACCCACTATGCCAGCAACCAGAAGGCTGCGAATGCTGATACCCACTATACTAGCTACCAGAAGGCTGATACCCACTGCACCAGCCACCAGAAGGCTAACACCCACTGCACCAGCCACCAGAAGGCTAACACCCACTGTGCTAGCCACCAGAAGCCTCAAGCAATGTCTCAGTGAGCTTGCCAGGTCAGAGTTGCAATGACTGTGTCCAGTCCCCTGACTCAGGCCCCCCTTGAACTAGTTCCCAGATTCCAGACCAGATTACAGACCAAATTTACCTCTGGAGGTTTTTTTAGGACCCTGAATAATTTTGGGTGAATGTCAGCTGGGTGGTCACTTATCCTCCATGGTGACTCTCTGGGGCCCTGGGGCAACTCAGGGGGCACCTCCCCTAGAAGCCCCCAAGGTGGGAGCGACCACCCTGGTGAGATTCTGAGATGGCTTTTGTCTAGTGTTAAAAAGAGAATAGATCTCGCTGGGGCCTCCAAATGAAGAATTTAAATGCAAGATTATAAAATTAACACTAAGACCAAAGTATGCCGAATTGCAGGGTCTTTATTGCCAGTGACCACAGAGGACGCATGTCTCTCCAACCCGTGGCCCCAAAAAGAGGGTGACAAGACTATTTTATACCCATAAACCACCTCTGGGGGTGGGGGTGAAGGGAGTCAGACATTCTGAGGGCCAGGGGATTCCATAAATCACCTCCCAGGCAGAGAGGAGGGAGCGGGTCTCTAGACATTCCAAGGGCCAGGGGACTTGTTGTTACTTTGATTCTTACTTAAGTGGTTTACAGAAGTCAAGATAAGTGTTAGTTTACACATTGTCTGGGCAGTAGTGGAATCCACAGATCTCAGTTACTTATTACAACTCTTGGGGGCCAGGGTGGAATTAGCTTGGGCTGCTTATTCTGGTCATTACTGGTAAGCAAAGGCCAGCAATTCTGGCAGTTACTGATAAGAAAAGGTAAGCAGTTTTACATAGTGAGCACTTTGCAGAGCAAACTAGCAGTGTTATTTACAGAAGCCAAGGCCAGTAGTTATTGTGAGGAGAATGGGGCAGCCATTACAACTTATTTCTGAAAAAACAGCTTTGTCTTGTATAAAATGGCATTGCTCAGGTTCCAGCTATAGCACAGATATATACCCAGTAATAGGATTGCTAGGTCAAATGGAATTTCTATTTCTAGGTCCTTGAGGAATTGCCACACTGTCTTCCACAATGGTTGAACTAATTTACACTCCCACCAACAGTGACTTGGCTAAGCAGGCTCTCTTTTGGTTCCATATGAAGTTTAAAGTGTTTTTTTCCAGTTCTGTGAAGAAGGTCATTGGTAGCTTGTTGGAAATAGCATTGAATCTATGAACTACTTTGGGCAGTATGGCCATTTTCACAATCTTGATTCTTCTTAACCATGAGCATGGAATGTTTCTCCATCTGTTTGTGTCTGTTGAGCAGTGGTTTGTAGTTATCCTTGAAGAGGTCCTTTTCATCCTTTGTTAGTTGTATTCTTAGGTATTTTATTCTCTTTGTAGCAATTGTGAATGGCAGGTTGTTCTTGATTTGGCTCTCCTTAAGTCTTTTATTGGTATATAGGAATGCTTGTGATTTTTGTATATTGATTTTATGGTAAAGAGCATCGACACAATGAAGAAACTGCATCAACTAATGGGCAAAACAACCAGCTAGCAACAAAATGGCAGGATCAAATTCACACATAACAATATTAGCCTTAAATGTAAATGGGCTAAATGCCCCAGTCAAAAGACACAGACTGGCAAATTGGGTAAAATGTCAAAACCCATTGGTGCACTGTATCCAGGAAACCCATTTCATGTGCAAGGATACACAAAGGCTCAAAATAAAGAGATGGAGGAAGATTTACCAAGCAAATGGAGAGCAAAAAACAGCAGGAGTTGCAATCCTAGTCTCTGATAAAATAAACTGTAAACCAACAAAGATCAAAAGAGACAAAGAAGGACATTACATAATGGTAAAAGGATCGATGCAACAAGAAGAGCTAATGATCCTAAATATATACACACCCAATACAGGAGCACCCAGATACATAAGGCAAGTTCTTAATGACTTACAAAGAGACTTAGACTCCCACACAATAATAGTGGGAGACTTTAATACTTTACTGTCAATATTAGACAGATCAACCAGACAGAAAATTAACAAGGGTATCCAGGACTTGGACTCAGACCTGGAACAAGCAAACCTCATAGACATTTACAAAACTCTCCATCCCAAATCCACAGAATATACATTCTTCTCAGCACCACATCAAACCTACTCTAAAATTGACCACATAATTGGAAGTAAATCACTCCTCAGCAAATGCAATAGAATGGAAATCATAACAAACAGTCTCTCAGACCACAGTGCAATCAAATTAGAACTCAGGATTAAGAAACTAACTCAGAACCACACAGCTTCATGGAAACTGAACAACTGGCTCTTGAATATTGACTGGGCAAACAATGAAATGAAGGCAGAAATAAAGATGTTCTTCGAAACCAATGAGAACAAAGACACAACATACCAGAACCTCTGGGACACATTTAAACAGTGTCTAGAGGAAGATATATAGCAATAAATGCCCACATGAGAAGCAAGGAAAGATATAAAATCAACACCCTATCATCAAAATTGAAAGAGCTGGAGGAGCAAGATCAAAAAAACTCAAAAGCCAGCAGAAGACAAGAAATAACTATCAGAGGAGAACTGAAGGAGATAGAGACAGAAAAAAACCTTCAAAAAATCAATAAATCCAGGAGCTGGTTTTTTGAAAAGATAACAAAATAGACAGACCACTAGCCAGATTAATAAAAAAGAAAAGAGAGAATAATCAAATAGAGGCAATAAAAAATAATAAAGGGAATATCACCACAGATTCCACAGAAATACAAACCACTATCAGAGATTACTACAAACAACTCTATGCACACAAACCACTAAACCTGGAAGAAATGGATAAATTCTTGGAAACTTGCACCCTCCCAAGCCTAAATCATGAAGAAGTCGAAACCCTGAATAGACCAATAACAAGGGCTGAAGTTGAGACTGCAATTAATAGCCTACCAACCAAAAAAAAGCCCAGGTCCATATGAGTTCACAGCCAAATTCTATCAGATGTACAAAAGGGAGCTATTACCACTCCTTCTAAAACTATTTCAAACAATCCAAAAAGAGGGAATCTTCCCCAAATCATTTTATGAGACCAACATCAGCCTGATAGCAAATCCCGGCAGAGACTCAATAAGAAAATATCCATGATGAACATAGATGAAAAAATCTTCAATAAAATACTGGCAAACTGATTGCAACAGCACATCAAAAAGCTTATCCATCACGATCAAGTAGGCTTCATCCTGGGGAATCAAGGCTGGTTCAACATACACAAGTCTATAAATGTAATTCACTGCATACACAGAACCAAAGACAAAAAACACATGATTATCTCATTAGATGTAGAGAAGGCCTTTGACAAAATTCTACAGCCCTTTATGCTAAAAACTCTCAATAAACTAGGTATGGATGGAATGTATCTCAAAATAATAAAAGCTATTACGACAAACCCACAGCCAATATCATACTGAAGAGGGAAAAACTGGAAGCATTCCCTTTGAAATCCGGCACTAGACACCGATGCCCTCTCTCACCACTCCTATTCAATACAGTATTGGAAGTTCTAGCCGGAGCAATCAGGGAAGAAAGAGAAATAAAGTGTATTCAATTAGGAAAGGAGGAAGTCAAATTGTCTCTACAGACGACATGATTGTATATTTAGAGGACCCTATCGTCTCAACCCAAAATCTCCTTAAACTGATAAGCAACTTCAGTCAGGGCTATTTCTAAAGGGAGAACAAAGTAAAAGACTATGACTAAAAATATATTGCTGTTTTCATGAAACTTCTCTCTGGGATCAACACTTTGTTTTGTCCTTAACAATGTTAGTAAGCTATTTACGTTTGCATCGTATTCATTGTTCTTTCTCATGAATATAATAACAATCATAGTTCTTGACACTTTCATGCTGCAGTTCAAACCAGCTGACTCAGATTTTATGAAGGACAAAGGTAACTTAAGTGGAAATTATAATCCTCAATAAGTCATAAAATTGCAAAGGAAGAAAAATATTTTGAAGGCATTTCAAACTCTTAATCATCACACACATTGGTGTCTAATTCAGAAGAAGGCAAGTACAGCTGGTAATTAATTTTGCTTAGTTTTTACTGAGGTCTGATATACCACATCAGCTTAAGCTGCATCCTAACCTTTGTAGAATGTTTTTAAAACCAACCGAACCTTGCAAATTTCTTCCCCGCTTGCCCCAATCTTACCTTGCCTATAAAATCGGAAGAAGAGGTCTTTCAGAGCTAGTAAGAAGCTGCTTCTATGAGAACTTGCTAAGAGTTCGAACTCTCATCCCTTGCTTTAGCAGTGGTGTCTCATGTACTTTTTCCTCACTCAGTCCTGGGGACTTTTTTCTCCCCACCCCTTTTTTCCTGCTCTAGAAAGTAGACTATCTGAATACAAAATATGAACTAACAGAAAGGGGGATTTTTAAAAATTCTCTATAGGAAACAGAAACCAAAAATGAAATTAAGTGACTAAGCTAGATAACAATGGAAATTTCCCAACTGTTGCCTAGTGTGGACAGGCTGGATGTATTTGACCTGACTTTCTAGAAACCGCATGTTATTACTAAACAGAACTTTGATATCTTTCACAATTGTTCAAAGCATGTGGTATTTCAAAGCTAGCTTGAAATATGTTGACATTAATCACCAGTTTGGCAGTAGGTCAGGGATAAAGCTCTTACGATTTTTGAAGTCTAATGTTGTGAAATGTTAGCTCCACTCACCCAGGACTAAGTTTATTACTTTCACAGTAGGTTCAATAGCTGAGAGCTTTAACTCACAGGCAAGGACAAAGTTTTTGGCACTTAGTACACAGTGAATGATAACAAGGATATTATTTATTAGACAGTTGTAATGTCCCCTGCACAGGTTTCACTACTTTCTATGGATTCCCCTATTTTAATTCTTCCAACAAACGTTTCCTCCCAATTTTACAAGAGCTGGGACACAGAAACATTTAGTAACTTGCCCCAAATCACAGAGCTGCCAATAAATGGATCTTAAGGTTGGAACCTGAGCACTTTATTATAAACCTTTGTGTTTGCTGAGTGAATAATCATAATCATTATTGTTGTTCCTTTTTAATAAATAGATTCTAAGATCTGGACACTAAACATCTCATATTATCCTGATTTCAATCCTACAAGAGTTTTCTCTATCTTTATTTTACAATGAACAGAGTGGCTGTTAGGCTGTATTTTTGGAGGTTTAGTGCCTAGACAAGGATTTGTGAGCAAGGGACATTTATTTGGAAGGTGCTTGTAAGAAGCCAGGTAGGAGAATAGGAAAGTGAAACTGGAATGGAACAAAGCCAGTGACTGGGAACATATCTAGCAGGTTTTGCTGTGGGAACAGGAGCTCAGATCTCCTCAGATGACTCTAGGAAGCAGTGTAAAACCTGCCTCCAATTTCCCTCTTGGATGGGTTAGAAGCCTGGGGTACATTTCTTCCAACTTCCTTTCACTTCTGGATAGGGACTGGTCCTGAAAGCATAACTCCCTTGCACTCCTGATCGGCCCATGTGTGGGCTGAGAGAAAATCCTTAGATGAAGAATCTCTGATGTTTGCAGTGAGATGCCATTGGTATGTGCAAGGGTGAGTGACGAGGGGAGATGGCCTTCACAGATGTTATGGGAGTCCCATCCATATTGCCTCTATCTTATGCGAAGTTCAACCTTTCCTGAATGGTTTTTTCAGTTTTGTGGCTGGTCATTGGGTTTTTTTGTTTTTGTTTTTGTTTTAATATATACACAATTGGAAATTTTAAGCTGTGGTCCTCTCTGCTACAACTGATTTTATGATCATAATTGATATTCAAGATCTTCCCTTCTATTACCCTTTCTAGGTTTTGCTTATACTTGGCCAGCATTTCTGCTTGTCTAGGTTGCCTTCTCAGTGGAGAGACACAATTCTTCATTCTTGAGAAACAAGAAAACCTATTTCTATGCTTCAATAAGGCCTTGGTTACTGCCAATACATCTTAACAAGCCATGGGAGCACCAAGAGTATCCCAGAGAATCCTTTGAGTGCCAGCCATACTCTTCCCTGCTTCCATTACATACTATTTCCTCGCAGAAACCATAATCATTTAAGCTTGCCAGTAGATCAATCCTTTTCATTGACTGCTGGTTTGTCTACAAACATGAAATTCATAAAATGACCACGTGGCAGCTGTAGTTTCAGATTTAGTAGAACTTTATTATGATCACTGGTAGAAAAACTGCTTAACATCACCCTGAAAACTGACTGTCTAGTTCAGTGGACTAGACAATGGATCACAAATTCACAAGTGATGCAATGGAGAATACTCCTACTTTAACTCAGCTTTGGTTCCCAGGCTTATATATTCTAGCTAGCATAGAATGTCCTTTAGTTACCCATTTACATGCTGCCTACTGAGTGGCAATCCCCAACCCAGTGTACCTTAGCTTCATCTCTACTGGCCCTTCCAATTTCTGTTGGGCTGGCAACTTTTCGATAATGTATAAGGACTAGTGGATTCCATGGTTACATTTGCACTGTTGTGCCTCTTTATTGTAAAGTCAAAGCTTTCAAAACTTTCTCTAAGCTGATGTTTAGTAGGATTTTATGAGATTTCCACAGACACCACAAGTCCTTGAATAGATGCTGGGCAAACCACTCTAAACAGGGGAATATCCATACCCAGAATTTATATCAACTTCTGTTAAAACAAGTAAACAAACAAAAAATGGCCTCCTCCAGTGTGCAAAAAGACTGATGTGATTACCTTGACATCTAGTGGTCTGGTTGGTCTTCTTGAAGCGTGGTAATGTACTGAAGGCTCAATGTCAATTTTTGTTGTCTTTGGGCCAATATAATATGTAACATGTACTGAGACTGCCTTGGTGAAAGGGAGCCCAGGTTGATGAGTCCATGCAAAGGTTTCATCCCTGCCACCATATCTATTCTGTGCAAACACCGGGTAACTGAGGATAAAGGCTGGCTCAAATCTACTGGATGAGTAATTTTAGCTACCTGGTTGTTCAGTGTCTCTCTAAAACCTATATTCTCTGGTTGACATTAACTTAAGACATAACGATCCACGTACTTTAAACACCCATGCCTAGAGATTTACCTATAAACCTCTTAATATCTGATCCTGCAGTTGTGCCCCTTCTAAGCCAAGGCAAACTACATTAACCATTCTCTGCTGCTCAAGATTCTGTATATAGCCTTACTTCAGGCCACCTTTTCCTTTGCACAAATTTTCTTACCTGTTAACGATTTAAAATCTGTCCACAGAGAACATTCACAACGATATCTTTGGGGGCCATCCCTAGCTGCAGTGGCAATAGATTTCAATTTGGTTTCTATAAATAATAGACATTGGAAACTATAGAAGATAGGTGGGTAGAAGTGGGGCAAGGGTGGAAAAATTACCTATTGGGTACAATGTTCACTATATAGGTGATGGATACACTAAGAGCCAAGATTCCATCACTACACAATATAGACATGTAAGAAACCTGCATTTGTACTCCCTAACTCTATACAAATAGCATTTTATAAATAAAAACAAACCAAAAAATCCAACTAAAATTCTAACTACTGTAAAAATTAATTAGTATTAAAACTAAAAATAAAGATATTTTCAAACAAAAAAATAGGAAAACCCAAACACTGGAATTAGAACACTCACATAATTTTATGCCCAGTGTTAGGTTCTCAGGTGTATTGAAAACCTCTTGTAAAAATTTGAAAATTCCATTGGCCTCATATCTTCTTATATCCTCTGTTGATATCACCATTTCAGCAGCTTTGCACAGGCATCACTGGCTTTATATTTTTGATGCTTCTGCAATTAGCATGCCAGCAAGAACTTGTTCAACTCCTTTTCATATACAAAACAGAATTGTGAGAAAGGTATGATGCATATCGGGAGCCAGTGAGGAAATGCCTTTCCTTTTTGTTTTCTGTGTGTTCCGTTCTGATGTGCCTCTCATAACATGTTTTAGAAACCTGTGGTGAAATGGAAAAGCAGTCACCCACAGTGGTGACCAAATCAATAACATTATTTTGTTGGTCTATCCTCCTTCCTTGTTTTACTTCCATGATCCTCTATCCTGTTCCTTTATATTTTCTCTTAGGATCATTTTCTAATGAAAACTCTTTTTAGTCAGGCCTTTCTCTCAGGCTCTGAATTTGGGAGAACACAGAAAAGAAAGGTGGTAATGGAGATCCTTGCAAGCAACTCCACACCCCTTTTTTTCCTGCTCTAGAAAGTAGACTATCTGAATACAAAATATGAACTAACAGAAAGGGGGATTTTTAAGAATTCTCTGTATGAAACAGAAACCGAAAATGAAATTAAGTGACTAAGCTAGATAACCATGGGAATTTCCCAACTGTTGCCTAGTGTGGATAGGCTGGATGTATTTGACCTGACTTCCTAGAAACTGCATATTGGTATTTTAGAGTGGATCACTAATTGGCCAAAGATTAGTGATTGGCCAAAGACTTTATGGCCAATAAAGTCTTTACTGGCAGCAATAAGTGGAAAGGTGGTAACTTCCTACATGTAGGTGAACTGGAATGAGATGAAGTGGAAAATGAAGCATGGGTTATGCTGTGGGACTTAAACAGTATGGGTCTTTGGTAATTATAAGGATGTTAGAGTCAGCTGATATTTGTTAATTGCCTGAAAAGCCAAGGAAAAAGATAATAATAAGCTAAGAATGTTCCTTGGGGTACCTAATCTGCCATGTAAGAAGTCCAACTACCCTAAGACTATCATGCTGAAGAGACAAGACCAAATGTATGCACTTTAGTCGACATTCACAAATGGGCTCATTTGTCAACAAGGCCACAGACATGTAAGTGAGGCAATCCTGGCCCCTCCAGATCAGTGCATCTGTTAACTAAATACCACAGCGTCTGCAGCTGGAACCATTTGGAGCTAAAGCATTACCCAGTCAAGCCTAACCCGAGTTTCTGACTGACACAGTAATGAAATCACTGTATGCATAACACTATATTATATAACTACAATAAAATAATTTTTATTTCAAGTCCCTAAATTTTGATGTATTTATAAGTAGCAATATGTAACCAGAGCACAGGCAAGCATAATTTACCTTGACCACAATAAGAAACTAGAGCTGATTTTAACCTTTTAGAGCACAGGGCATCGCTTGTTTTTTCAAGTGATGAAACCGCAGTAGCAGCAACCACCAAGCAACCTAACCTCTTCTGCACCTCACCTCCTGCTGCATGTTGCTGCCTTCTTGCTATTCCTTCACAGGCCAAGATGCTCCCAGTCCAAGATGTTGCACATGCTATTTGTAGTACTTACAAAGCTCTTCCTTCTCATATACACTGCTACTCACTCTTCTTTCAAACTTTTCCCCAAACATCAATGGTGTGTAGTATTGTGTATGAACACTCAAATTCATAAACTTCTGTCT